AGCGGTGTGGGTGCCAGAAAAAGCCGAGAAACCAAGCGAACTAATCAGCCTGGGCCAGCAAGAAAACAAGAGAAGACATGTTTGTAATGGCCAGCTGTGCCACTGGCCGCTCTCCAAGATCAGCGTCTTTGCAACGACCAGAGGTGTGCCTATATAGCCACCTGTCCATGGTCAAGAAATTTGTGTGATTCTATGTTTGGCTGATCATGGCTGATATACACTGACCCTCAGGTTGGTGGACGAAGCTCCCCATAGTCTATAACGGACCATGTTCATATGTCTCGTTAGATTTGGTGTGCTGTTTGACCTTGCAGACGGAGCTCAACACCTGAGAACCAAGCCAGCCCCCTTTGTCTTCGGACCTCGTGAGGGTGCCGGGAACTGGCCAGCATCACTTCAGGCGATGACAGGCTAAAACGGACACCCCCGATCGGTTGCTCCGTCGCGTCTTCCGTCTTCCGTCTCCGTGCGTCTTCCGTCTCCGTGACCGACCACCCAAGCGTTTGGGAGCGCCGGCGATCGCGACCCCAAGGTGTTTCCGCTCCTGTTCTCAGATCTCACCTGGCAGGGTTGGCTCGGGACGGCTGGTTGGCGATGTTTTGGGGTGTTGAAAGGGATGGGAAGGCAATGGAAGGCGTTCTTAGCCAAACAGCCTGCCTATTCTGGAAGGCTCCGCCAGAGATCTGGCATTCCAGGCATCATCTGGTCAGGCAGAAGCTCCGGTGAGCTCCAGTGAGTAAATGGATCCTGAATACTACACAGTTGCAACCCCCTCAGGAAGCACCTCTAAGCATCTCTAAGTACATCTGATCACCTGGTCACTGACTGGTAACTCTCACCATCCCGGCTCGCCACCTGCATCTGAACCTGCGCCATACGCTCCGATCGCTTCACCGGAGCAGCAATCACCTGGGAGATTGGATGAGGGGTGCTGGAGACACCCTCACGCGCACGAACGATCATGTTCCGAACAGATCATGAACCCAGTCTTTTTTCGGCTGCACTTATTAGAATAGGGATAGGAACGAGATTCTCCTGGCGGCAACCTCGAGACGTTTGAAAAGGTCATCTGGGTGTCGTTGTCGTAGATATGGGAAATTGGATTAAGAAGCACATAGAACACTAAATGCAGCATAATGCATCTCTCCCACCCGAATTGATTGCGTCTAGAAACCACATAAGGTGTTCCAAGGCAGCACGCATGTTCCCAACACCTTCCCCACACCCCTCACCAGTGGCATGAGCTCTTGGACTGGGCTCCGGACGCTTTCGTCGTTGTTCGCCGCGTCGACCAGATTCGACGCTCGAAATTGAGCCGCGGAGCGACGGACGCGATGCAGGCTCCGGCTCCGCGCGCAGCCAGTTTGGTGGCGGGTGCTGGACGTGGGCGGATTCCCCCACACCTGGACCCCCCAACAACTCGTCCAGCATGCCCAGCATGGCCTTTTGCACCAAAAGAGTACCGAACCTGCATGGTGCCTACAGAAGGCACCCTCCCAAAAAGCTCATCGAAACAAACCAAGATCGTCAGACTCGTCAAGCGTGGAACACTGAGAAGGGAACCAAGTCATAAACCACCTGACATGAGGAAGGTCTCAGCATTGCTGGGGTCGCTGCAACTCCCACCCTATCTCACATGGTCCTGGATTTGTCTGGCTGTTGGGCAATGGAAGTCTGCAATGCAAACGTGTCAACTGCCTACCTCTGCCTGGGACTCTCAGGTGACAATTACAGGGACAGGGACATGGGGAACCATGAATTCCTTCAACACAGCAGTATCAGAGTCCGGGTTCTGCATGCAGACTACCGGGCGTGGGAAGTTCTACCATTCAACAAGCTCCCCGCCAAGCGCCGGAGATAAGGCTTTTTCGTATTCAGATTGCTTGGCTCAGGAGGTTCTCCCATTCATTGGGGAGCCATGCCCACAAAGCAATGGACAGCCCCAAGCGCGAGCATTCTTTCGCCCGCTGCTCTGCGCTGCAGAAGGGGAAGACGGAGGGGTGCAGGCACCCGAGGTGAGCAGGGAAGCAGGCAATAGCAAATCAGAGCACCCAGCTAGGATACAAACGGAGATGCAGTCAATGACACAAATTGATCAAATGGAGCTTTGTTTTGCAGGATTGTCTTCACCACTAGTTACTGGTTCAGTGACTGATTTAACTCCTGATGCTTCAAAGTTGGGATTTGGAGAAGCTATTCTGATCGCTGCATCTTGAGTGCACTGGCATCTGTGGGGTCTCCAAGTCATCGGGTGGGTGTTGTTTTTTCTGGAAAGGTGGCGCCAGGAGTTTGATGGACCAAAGGTTTAAAGGAAGCATAAGGAAGCACTCACCCATAGCAATCTACAGTACTGTAGCTGGGATGATCCCAAAGCAGGATAGAGATGGATAGAGCTATGGTAAAAATACTTCCACGTGCGCCGTACAGGAGAGAAGAGCATTGTTTAATGAGATCGTAGTGGTGTTATGTTGCGCTACCATCCAGCTGCGTAATCATGGAAACTAGCCTGTCGCCAGTCTGCCTTTTCCTGCTACAGTGGATTGAGAATGGATTGGCACAAACCCAAGATGGAATATAGGGGTCCATGTAACCACCTTTCGCGGGTTGTGACATTGTGCCATCTACTCTCCACCCAGTATATATGATCTATCATGATCTATCCATGTCCACTTCTTCATGTCTTGAAGTGAACTGCCTGCTTCCCAACTTTACTCAGCTCAGGGTAGGGCCAGCTTTAAAAGACCCAAGGGGGAACGAACTACACAAGGCCTCAAGGAGGCCTCAAGCACTGTCGGGGCAAGGTAGCTTCCACAAATATCTTCCTTCAAGCCTCTGATCTGTTTTCTTGCACCTGAATTTCAGGACTCCCGATTCCAACTGCAATCCGTCCCCAATTAGATATGAAAATGGCATCAAGAGTATGTGGCAGCATGTACTGAAAAGCCGACGCTGTTTCAATGGCAGTGGCAGGCAGTATTGAATTGTGTGCTAATCCCTCTCCTCTTGTTACATTAACTGCACGCCGTCCTTGCTGCGCACGGTTGAAATCTCATGAAACATTGGCTTTCGAACATAGCGATGTAAACTATCACGCCAAAATGGACACGATGTCCATGGTCTTACACTACCCACTAGGCTGCCAGAAATTGTTGGCTCGTTTCCAGGCTTCCTGTGTTCGAAACCTCCAATTCGAATGTGGGGCACTTGAAAAAAGAGCCTCCCACACACACTCGGATGTCATTGTTCACTGGATGTGCCAGCCAAGTGCTGCCCTCTCCCCGACGCCGCACGTTCTCGGCGTGACGCCATGGCATCGGGCCCCCCGAACCGGGAGAAACCCAGCTGTCACGAGGATTTGGAGTGATGCGCAGCGCGGTGAGTCACTGAACTCACTCAGGATGAACTGCCCAAGCTCGGGGATCCCATCATGTAGACTTTTGATGCATCAAATCCCCATTGGGATTGCAAAACCTCTTATTGTGGGGGGCTTTATTAATCAAGTGTCTACATTGTTCAGTTTAAATGTCATTGGTATCATATCATCATGTGTATAATGCGGGTGTGCAATGGAGTAGGCAGCCCCTTGGGGTCTTTTGAGCTCCCTATTCCAATATAACTATTACATTATCATGATGTCCAACCCCCTGCATTCAGGACACAAAATCCCATGAATTCATCTGCGTGTTTTCACTGAAAGGACGCCCCATATAGGACATGTTAGAGGGCCCATGGTCTTCGAGTCTTCAGGCAGTTCAGCGCCTTGAAAATGTTCAGACCGCCTCTAAAGTCCAGGAAGCCAGCGTGCGGGCGAGCGTTTTTAGAAAGCATGGTCCGTGAAGAGGTGGCTGCATGAGCAACATCGTCCAAGCACAACAAGTTCTTAGAGCTTCAAACTATGTCAAGCTAGTTGCTGTATATCTAGATCTGTCTCTGCCTACAGGCCTTCTGAAGGTGTCTCTGCACATTCTCTCACTAAACCGGGCCAAGAGTTCTTTCACTCCAAAGTGCTTCATAAATGGGAACTTTATCTCATCTCACTGCACCTGCCCCGCCCTCTTCACCCATTCGTCTCCCCGATGTCGCTGTTCCCAAGGGCGGTATAAAGACAGCGCTGATGGAGGCCCCGCAAGGTCGTGGCAAGAGGTGCTCGTGAATGCTCAAGTTTTAGTTCAAGTGAGTGAGAAACTCGAGAAGGCTGGAATCTAGTGGGCCAGGCCGCTAGGGCCGCTAGGCAGGTCACTGCTGCAAGCGGTGTCAACTCGTTAGTTCGAACTTTCAAGCTTTCCCAAGAGTTTGGGAGGGAGGGAGGGAGGGAGGGTCACTGCTGCAAAAGCGGTGTCTTGGAACTCGTTAGTTCGTCTTCGAAGCTTTCAAGCTTTCCCAACAGTTTGGGGCCCATGATCCAGTTTTTAAGGCACGTTCCTCCAAAAAAAGAGAAATGCCTATAATTGCCTATACAGGGTTGGCCCCCCACACACACAACTCAAAAAAAGGCCTGGCGGCTTCGTGGGGGTCTATGCATAAAGGCCGCAACACCTACAATCCAACCCGCCTTTTGGCTAGCTGATACGCCTTAGGGCCAGGACCCAGTACACCTACACTGGGCTAAAAATTGTGCCTCCTCACAAGCAGACCTGCACCAGGCTCCATCAAACAGCTGCTGATCACCAGGCTCTGCTGGATCCAAAAATGTAGGGCCTCAGCGCTGATGCATCTGGCTGCCCAGTCCTCAAAGGCCAAACAAGGGTCCAAAGCATAGGCCGGTTTTGAGGTGTTATTGGGGGTGCGATTTGTGGACCAAACAACTAACATCAACTGACTGATGCTTGATGAAACTGGATATCTGATGATCTGATGAAGCAAGAAAAGGAATTGTGATGGCACGTGTCAAAAGAAAGGACTACTGAATGACACGCTTTGAGCCATGGAAATCTGCAAACTGAAGCCCAGCGGCAAACTGAAGCCCAGCCCCAAGTTCTTCCCAGTGAAGCAGTGGCAACTTACATTGCCATCACGTAGACCGGTTCCACCGATTCTCTCTCCTGGCGCAGAGGTGAAGGTGGATATAGATGGACCAAGCCTTCGTGGAGAGGCCTAAGAGAGACCTTAAAAATCAACTCATCGATATCCGAATTATGGGATGCAGCGCGGCATAGCGCGGCTTGATCAGCTTGGCGAGTTGAGCTCTTGGAGACCAAGTGTCGCTAGAGGAAGAGCACCTAGCAGCCTGCAGCAAAGCTGTTTTAAGCAGCGGCAAAATTGTCTGCATGCATTCACCCACACACCCAAAGCAAGTAAAGAACATTGGATGCAGCAGCCTGAGGGGAACATTCCAAAGAGTGGAACATCCCCAGCGCAGGCAAAAGTGATGTTCTTACATCCAACTGTTTCATCCAACAAGTTCAGGCGCATCCCAACTTCCGCAGACCCCACAGCCTAGCTCCATCATCCGCTCCCACATCCTTCCATCCTCTCCACCCATCCCGGCGATCCTGTCGTTGCACCGTCTCCGGAAACCTCCGCGGCCGCTCCGCCGTGGCCTCCGCCGCCTCGGGACCGTCGAAGGACTGAGAATTCCATTCGGGGTCGAGGCCAAGGGTTGGATGCGTCCTAAAGAGTTCACAGGTATGAGAAGGTGGTGAGAACGCCGCCCCTCGCGATTCAAGTTGGAACGACTAGCAATGGCACGTGTCAAATATGTCTGGCTGTGGATCTGTCAGCAAGGAGCGCGCAAGGTGCGCAAGCAAGGCAAGGGAAGAGTTGTTGCTGGCTGTGTTTGGGAGCCTTGTCTTCCCATAGGTGAGTCAGAAGCTCGAGTTGACCCTACCTAGGGCGCGGTCGCTGCTGTAGTCAAAGACCTCAGTGCGGCTGGGCAAGGATGGTTTCATCACAAACAACCCGAGTCATGGGAGTGGAGCCAGTGTCGACTCGAGTTGGGTCGTGGAGGATGTGCGCGTTGCTTTGAAGGTCCTCCCTGGTCGATTTAAAGAACTTCATCTCTGATCACTGGCGCCTTCTTGTGGCCGTTCTTCTGCTGCACGGCTGATTGAAATAAATGTTGCAAGGTGAATCTGGCGGATGACATCAAGGTCATCAGCGTCTTTGACTGGGCCAAGGCTCCCCGGAATTCTACGTGGACAAGGTTGCCAGCATCAGATACATCTGCTGGCGCGTGATCACATATGTATATATGCTGAAACTTGCACGCTCACATCGGGTGGGTCCTGACAAATGCACATCACCCACAAGGATTGTGTGCAGTGTGTTTTGTTGTTACTTTTTTTGTGGTTCGGAGATCGAACCTGAGGGGTCTTGGCCAGCTGTTGAACTATGGTATCAGGCAAATGCTACAGCAACACATTTATGGATGAATATGAATGCCATATTTTTAGCCTAGACTTCTCCACCTGCGAAGCCAGGAATGCAAACCGTTCAAAAGGAAACAGGAAGGACCATCTCGACTGACTCGGAAGCCTCCCATCCCCGATTTGTTGGCCATGTCGGCCAAGATCTCTCCGCTCTCTTGATTTGCTAAAGGGGCTTCGAACCGAGAAACCGTTTGACACGAAGAGATCCTGGCAAATGCCACACAGTTGAACCACAGGTCCTACGAGTCCTTTCCAAAGCAAGGTCCAGTCTCTACAAACTGCGAGAGCACCAGTTGAAAAGCTAAAACATTGGCATTCTTCGGCACGTCAAACATGTTACCCCGGTCGCAACTGACCCTCTTGCTCGCCCGTGGGGAGTGAATTTGCGCTCCAAAGCTGTTGGAGGACACAGCCTCTGACATGCAATCGAAGAAGCATGTTCTTTCGTGCGTGTCCTTGGGCGGTGTCTACCGAAAAAGATCGATTAAAGGTTTCAAAGGTTTCTTCTTTGATATCTTCCATTGGTGCCAGGGTCTACCAATAAAATTGGAAGAAGATCCTCCAAGAACCTCTGCGGCCACGTGGCCACTCCGCGATCTGCGGGGCCTGGATCTCCACGCTCCAGTCGATCAATGGCCTGGCCACATGAGTCAGACTGACTCAAAGGATCTCAAAGTCTTTGCAGGGGTCTTTTGGTCCATGAATTGTCCGACATCATGCGCAAAGATGGTATTGAAGGTTGATTTACCTTCCAAAGTGGCACATCCATTCAATCATGCTCAATCTATGAAGATCTCCAGGTATCTCCAGGCAGGCAGTTCACATGCAATGGCACTTTGGTTCATCAGATACATGGCCAGCCAAAAGGGCCACGCGCAGCGTTAATATGCGTTAATCGCCTCCGGTGACACGTTGCTCACAGGCAGCCCAGGCGCTTCAGCCGCCTGCGTTTCATCGCGCACAGCTGGCAGCTCTTCCCCGGAATCGATAGATTGTGGCCGCTTCCTCAAGGAAACCTCTTGAAGTGGGGTTCCTAAGTGGAGATCATTGAGCACCCTAACTCAAAATCTCTGGTGGAGAAAGGAAGTCAATATCAATCCAAATAGCCTAATAATGACTTAATAGAACATACATTGCATAAGGGATCATAAGGGAACCCAAGAATGAATATACACAGAACCAGGGATTCAGGGCATGAGCAATACCAAAGAAAGAGCGGTTGCAAAATACACCACAAAATCGGCATTGATGTGGAGTCGTGTGACTTGTCAGCTTTGATTCATCCCACACACTCTGTGAAGGCATCTACTCCTGCACGTCCTTGCCTGCGCCTGCTCTGCAACCACCTGCGAGGCCAGATTGTGCAAAATGCAACTAATGATTGATCAGTCCTTCCATCCACTATATTATTAGTGGTAGGCAGTGGAAAAAGAGTATCAATACGCATGATTCTGATCATCTGATCACCGTACTCACTCACTAAGTATTTAGGTCTGGCACCTCAGGTCTGCCATTTCGACCCCACGCCACTACCTCTTGGACCATCTGAAACAGCCAAAAGCCACACACATGTGTGACACGTGTCCCACACGTGTGACGTTGCTCTTCCTTCCAGTGAGGTCGGCGGCACCTCACTGCCGTGGATGAAGCAAAAGGATAGGACGAAGAAAGGGATGCTGACCTCGGATAAACGTAGACGCCGTAGAGAGCCTTCACCTACTCGACACCCGGCCTCTTCGACAAAAAATCCGTGCAGCTTCCATGTTCGCTGCGGTTTCATGGTCGTTTTCGGGTGGTGCGAGGACTTTAGGATACTTTAGGGTGGTCTTTTGAACACTTTTGGTGTCATGGTTGAGGCTTGTCTTGGCCTACCTTGGCGTATACACGATCTTGTCACTTTTTTTCAGTACTGAGTCAAATCTTATCCTTGTTTAGTTCCCCATTGGCTGCCTTGGGTTTAAGGACATGAAACCTCGTGAATCAAAAACATCAAAAAAACAAACATATGGAGATGGAAAACAAACATCCGCTGAAATGTTTGCATATTTTTTCCAACCTCTTGGATTTGTGCAACTCCCATCTCTGTCCTCTTTGCACTCCCATTTCTCACATTTTCTCACTGTCCTTTTGTTCAACTGGGCATTTTCAATTGTCTCTAGGCCTTCGCTCTCCTCTTTTGGCTCAGGTCACTTGCAGGCCGCACGACCTGGACCTTTTTGCGCAAACGTAACAAGATGCCGGAGATTCCCCTGAGGCCGCCACGACAACCATCAACGTGGAATTCATCGCCACCACCACATTCCTCAGAGTTCAACACAACGAGTGTCGCATCTAGCCCCGCACGCTTCTAGCCAGCCACGACCAATGCGAGGATAATATGGTGTTTTTTTGAGCTCTCCCCCACTAAATCTCGACATGGAAGACCGTTGAGTACAACAATTTTCCTCGCAGGGCGGGGATCTTGTTCCAAGGAGCACCCCACTCAGTGTATCAGACTGACCCTGGAAAACATCACTGAACTTAAGTCGACGCTGGGAAAACGAAATGAAGAACCTGTGTAAATTGTATGTTGGAGGATATTGTCATTGTGTTTATTTGCGCGGTGGCCAGCTATACAGTACACTATCTACCACGTCCACCGCTTGACAGGGCCAAGCATCATAAAGTCGTCGGGCTTACACTGCTTCAGGTACCTGCCTCGGAAACACAATGGCTGTGTGCATGCGCTAAACACCCTATGGACGCAATGATAAGCCACGACAGCCTCCAAGCAAACGGAGGACCAGTGCAAGTCGTATGCGGCCTGTCAAAGTAACGCTCCGCCAACGCTGAGGAACACTTTTCCTGTCTTTCGTTCGGTCACCCAGGCGCATCAACGCGCATGTGCCTTGGACGGACCTTCTAGAAGTTTCCATGCGACCGGACCCCCTCCGATAGAATGGCTCTCCAGACATCTCATGACATCTCAACCCCTGGCTTGGCGAACCGGCCGGTGCAGGTTGCATGGCGTAACGCGTCGAGGATGCAGAGTCGAGCGCTATGCTTCACCCGTGTGCTACCCTGTGTCGTGGCATTGAATCAACCGAGCACCACCGTAGGCTCCTGTTGATCTGCGTGTGCCCCTTCGGTCAGTTTTGATATTCTCCACCATGTTTTCCATTTCCAGGTGCGTCATGCCCTAAAAAGATGAAAAAAACAGGGTTCAACTGTCAAAGGTTTGATTTCTTCGAATCACACGAATCGAAGGTCAACCAACGCCAAAAAGGAAGGCAGGTTGGGCATATAACTGCCTCTTGCGGCAAAATCAGACATTCTACCCAGGGCACGACAACAACGATCAGTGGGAAAATGATTTTGAATTTTAACTGTCCTTGTAGCAGTCGTAGTGGTAGTAAAGTCGCAGTAGCGGTAACCGTATTACTTGCAGTGGCAGTAGTGCGCAAAATGTTGCGCCTGCCCTTCGAGGTTCACAAAGTGATGTGCCTGCTATGAGAAGCGCCGCTCGAGGTTCACAGAGCGCTGCGCCTGCCACGAAAACCACATCTCAAAGATCACAAAAATCCTGCACCTGCCACAAAACCTGGTGGTTTGCAAAGCGCTGCGTTGGGTACGAAATCTGCACTTCGAGGTTCACAAAATTCTGTGCCGCCACGAAATCTGCACATTAAGACTCACACCGCGCAGCCCTGCCAACGCGTTTCGCACCAAAATGCACTTAAAGTGCCAAAACGCAGCTTTCGCTCGATACGTTCCTTAAATTCTGAAGGCACCTGTCCAAAGTTCACGATTCACCGCACCTGCCACGACATCAGAGCGGCGAAGGCCACCGCCATGCCCACAGCGCTGTGCCTGCCACAAAATCTGCGCAGCGAAGTAGAACCACTGTAACCTCCCGCCTGCCACAGCAACTCGACTTTGGACCACCAAAACATGAGGTTTCCCTTGCGCTTGCCACAGAACATTGAACACCCAGTCCAGAAATACGCGCGGCACCACAACGACGAGAGCGTTGTCGAGAAAAGCACCCGCTGGCGCCCAGCAGTTTCTGCGAGCGGCTGTTTTTCACACGCCGATGAGCACCACCGATCGAACACAAGGCCCTAACACTTACCGTAAGACCCGTGACCACACTGCTTTACTGTTTGGTGATTTTACCATTTTACAATATTTTACATAATTTGACACTTCGAGGTCATCTTTCAAAAGGGGTCCTCCCCCTACCAAGGCACTGATTTGGGGGTTGCAAAAAAGTTGTCCTATGAAAACTCGATCACGCACCCGGCCAAACAAAAGAATCGGTTTTTGAGCTAGACTCTAGACCTCCTCCTCAAATGGCTTGGCGGAGCAGCCCGCGTTGCAAGCAATATGGCATTTCAGGAGTCCAAGTTCTATATACTTCCATCATTGGCGGAGGGAGTCTAAATGAGTGTAATCTTGCAACTGGCATTGACTTGCTGAATTCAAGCACCACGGCATGTGCCATACTCCAGGCCCAAACACTCAATCGGAATGTGCAGTTCTTTTGCTACAAGGATGGGGAAAGACGACACCCTTCAGCCGAAAACGACGTTCCCAACAACTTACACGTTGGTTTGGTCCAAAACTCAACACTCCGTCTGTCCCACCCAGGGAGCATGTTACTCATGGGGTGTTTCGCTCGATGGCGATGTCAGGTACGCTCGACACGAGAAACACATGGAGATGTGGATCGACAGCATGTTGGATCATGTGCGGTCCATGGTGCGAGGCTCGGTCCATGCCATGGAAGAGATGTGTATTTCGCGCGGGGGACCACTCCGATCCCGCATACATGAAGCACCCATTTGTGTCACAAGATCGGTCATGGGCCAGTTCGGGTCACAGCTTTCAGAACCAGAGACGCCATGGATGTCCACCCTTCAGAATCTTCAAATCCACTGCTGCCTTTTACCTAGTGTTTGCCTAAGGTTGCGGTGTGAACTCACCACTTCGGACGACGACTCACCAAACATCTCACTTGGCTTGGGCATCTGTTGCTATACTGCTCCCTTCGTGAAGACTCATCGTTGTTTTCGGAGGAAGGTCACTGCCCACTGCCCGGTATGAGTGGACGACAAGGGTTTCAAAGGCATTTGCCTGAAAAAACTGCGACACAAATAGTATATATCTACATATATATATATATATACACATTGTTGCTAATGTCTGCCTGCCCTTCTTGCACTCTGTCACCTGCACGAAGGTGGAAAGACATTGAGGGAACATCATAGCTCAGCCTGGTTCCCCATGCGAATCACGTGCGAATAGGTACACTCTTTCTCTGAAGCACATCGCAGCATAGCAGATGACAAGGACGGCATAGAACCAGGACCTATTAAAGATGTCATTATTTTTACAATGTTTGTATATGACACCTAAAACTCAAGTCAATATCATGAACACATATCGAAATCATTAGGATTAATCACCCATTGTTATTGTTGGATAGTGAATGATATTCAATATAACATGTAATTATTACAGTGTAATATTCAAAATGATTCAAGCAAAAAACAGTTGAGTTATCCCATCCAAAACGGGTCACACTTTTCTCCACTCCCTGCACCGAGGCCTGCATCCAGAGATAGAATGATCAGCAGAAGCATCGAGAGTCCTGGCAGCGGCACGGGCGATCCAAACAGGACCCCCCATTTTTCAATCTATATAGAGATCTGCTGACCCTATCTCAAATCAGGCATATGATTTCACAGGCACATGAGTCTGGAGTGAAAACAGGAACCCCCCAAAACCACTCTGCCTTCCTGCAGAGAAGGCATAGGTACAAAAACCCAGTGCTCCCATTGCGCCAATGGTGGAAGTGCTCCCGAAAAACTGAAAGTTCCGAATGATGTTCTTGGAGGGGGCCGCGCCATGTTTTCATGTTTTACACCCCCACTCGTCAGCCTCCCTGCGCAGTCCTGTGGAGGCCCACACGACTTGCCGATCTGCATCGGTCAAATGGACACTCACCACAAATGCCTCAGGTGCTTAAGGTCAGAGTCTGAGTCGCCACTTGGAGGAACACTTGGAGGACATTCTTTGCAAATCAGGGCATGCAAACAATGGGATACTTGCTCAATGACTTGCTTGTTGACTTTTCTCCCAGCAAGCGGCGCAGGCAAGCGAGCCGCAAAGCCAGCCGGGCGCCAAGAGGCACAAAAGCGGCATGGAGATAAAGCGCATGGAGATGTGCGACAGTACCTTGGGCGACACGAGACAAGTGGGTTGGAGATGTTGGAGGATCCAAGTTGGAGATGCTGAGTGAGACAAGGCCCCTATGACTATCGAGTTTTTGTTTTCTTGAGATGTATGGTGTGAATATCTTTAAATCCCTTAGGCCCTTAGGGCAAAGTGGTTCACAGGGTCAATTTGGATGAGTTCCCCTTACTAACAGGATGACCACCCTCCGAAACACTCTGGAAAAGGACAAGTAAATGAAACCTGCTGGTCTCAACCAGGAGCAAGTGGGAATGTGCAAAAGACGATGGAAAATGTCTGTTGCCAGAAGTATGTGGTTATATCCGCCGACCCTGGCCTAGCCGATGCCTAGGCGGGGCGGCGCCCGGGACAGCGCAGCGAGAAGCCATGGCCAAGGACCTGTGCTACTATGCGGACTTGCACTCGCCAACGCCAGCCCGTTTTCGGCAGCTATAGCTCCTACGGCCTTGTCTGGGAGTGGCCACGCTGCCTTGTCTGGGAGTGGCCATGCTGCCGTCTGCTGGCCACCACCATGGTGGAAAAGCGTGGCGGAGCAGATTGTCGGGAGCCTTGGGAGTGAGCTTCTGGCACGTGCCAGGCAACTGTTTTATGGGCTCCCGAAGACAACGTGCCAGGCGACGTTAGGGCAGCAGGCCGCCCGGTGGCCATCACCTGCCTGCTGGCTCTGTGGCCATCACGTGGGCTGCCGCACGCCAGCACCCGCCCTAGCCATGCTGCCTTGTCTCAAAAAACAAAAAAGGGTCGGCGGAGCCAGGGCGGAGCCCTTACAATCCGGGCGCCGGCCACGCGCCCGTGTCCTCGCCGGAGGCCTTCGGTGGTAACCGAAGGTTATAGACGCTCGGCCCCCCTGCCGCCGACCCTCGCCACGAAAAACGGGGGGACCCCCTTTTCACTTCCGGGTCACTGAAGTCGCTGTAATTTACAGTGTTTTTTGCGCACGATGTTCAAAAACGGTGTGTTTTACAGGGTTTTGGGGCCCTCGGCAGCCGAGAATTTTATGTTGGCGATGTCAAAAAACGTGAGTTTTTCCATGGTTTTTGCTTTGCTGGAAGGAAAAATCGGAAAAAGTTGTCTCGGAATAGTTTTCAACTTAAATTGCCTAACATATCCCCAACATAGGCAAGATAGCCAACATATCCACAACATATGCCCAACACAGCCTCCAAGATGGCTCAACATAGGCCAACATACGCCAACATAGGCCCAACATAGGCCCAACCTAGGCCAACATAGGCCAACATAGGCCTAACATAGGCCAACATAGGCCCAACATAGGCTCAACCTGGGCCCAAGATGTGCCCAACATACACCACATGGGCCCCACTTGGCCCAACCTAGGGCGAAGATGCGCGCCAGCTAGCTTAACTTTGCTCCATATAGGCCCCACCAAGGCCAACATAGGCGTGACATACGCCCCACAAACCCAAGTGGGCCGGCGCCCGGCTGTTAGGCGTAAGCCTTTAAATTAGCTATTGATTATATCATGTTGTACTCTGATGTTTTTTCTTTCCTCGTTGCGCTGAGCTTCGGCGATGCGCACATGTTCCACTTTTGTTTTGCAGGGTTTCGACCATGTGTGACATCGGAAAATTGATTTCTACACTCTTAGCGTCCTGCTGGCAAACACGTCCCAGAAGCAATTGCAAAACTCAAGCACTGTTCAGCAACTCTCACTGCGAAATTGCTACCATGCGGACTTCAAAGGAGACATGTGCTCACAAGTGAGGTTTCAAATACAGTTACAGTAGAATCGAAAAGGTTCTCGTCATGATTTCGTTCTGAGGGGCAAAACTCAACGCACACAGCACACTTCAAGAGCGAACAAACAGCCACGAGAATGAAAGAACATATCTGAACATATCAAGTTAGATGTTAGATGATCAATTAATTGTTTCAACTCTTCTCTTTCTTCCAGTCTTTGAAGCAATTCTGGAATAACCTGCAAAAGTTGACTGTGAGACGAAGGGTTTCTGGAGTGTCCTACGTAATGTTGAACGTTGCCTGAAGGGACCCCTCTATATTTTCCACCTGAAGATAGCCCGGCCATCCAAATGTTCACCAATCATGTAAGGTTGTGGAGTGGCTTTAGCGGGACATGCGCATCATCTTGAACTATATACATGGAACTTGCATTGGAACTTTCATGGGGCAGCTGAGTGCAGACTAGGGGTCCATGATGGTCCATGGATAGAACAGAATATGCAGAGACCCTCTTTTAACCTGGCACTCGTTTATTCTAGCTTCGGCACTCATGTGGCAAACACTTCACCGTCGTCGAGAAATTCCGGGGCCGGGTCAAGCGATGAATAGGGGGGAATGGTGACGAGCCACAGGGAACGGTGAACCACACTCTGCTCCTGTTCCTGCATCAAGTATCTTGGCCTGCAAAATCGCGTCGGAGGGGTGGGAGTACCAGCTAGAATTTTGATATCTGCGGATCCGCAAAAACTGACTGCCGGGCATGGGTGCAGTGGCCACGGACATGGTGACGATCAGGATGCTGAGAATCCTCAGAAGGGCCCACGGCTTGGTTTGCAGGCATTCTTGACGTCCTACCTCCAAAGCCCTTTGATTGCCATTGCTTTCACTTTGTAGTTACAGGTAAACGGCCGACACTAACCACCAACCGCACCTGTTTTCCTTGAGCCAAAGTTAGGGTAAGTGAGACATGTATTAGACACACTAGCGTGAAACAACACCCCCCGCTGAACGAAAATGGGAGGAGTGAGGATATGTACAGTGCATGAATTACTGGACCTACGAAGGTATCCGGTCCCCCAGTACGTGCAATGCATCGAACCGGAACGCGCCTTGAGATGGAGAGGAAGTTTGACCTCAAGGACGTGCAAGTCAAAGCACTGTCACGTTTTACAGCTAGTGTTAAACATGTCAAAAATCGATACATGCAGTCAAGCTCAATGCACAATGTTGTAATAGGCTCTTTTCAGCGCAACGGAACAAGAAGTGCGATGCCAACCTTTCAGAAAGCAGGAACAAAGCCATCAAGGCACACGCTCCCGCGTGGCAACAAAGCACAACAAAAGAATGTGCGCTTCTGGGCGCAAGGATTTGGAGCCAAGTACTTCGACGAAAACGGCAACCGGTCCCCCGGTGCATCACAGAAACGGTCGATTCGGCAACCGCTCCCGCGGTGCGATGAGGGATACACAGCGCTCAACGACAGCCATGTTACCCATGGATTTCACTCTGCTCGTCTCCACAGGCAACGGCTCCCGCCGTGCGATGTGTCTACCACCTGCGGTGACTCCACCAGTCATTTCCTCGCCAATCGCTGCCACAACCACGGTCATCTTGCCACCAGTTTCGTGAAGATGACCACCACGAGGAGGATGAAGGATTCTGCCAGTCCTGTGCTGGTTCATTCCATGCCGCTCCCCACCATCGATGCTCTGCAGCCTCGGCCTGAGATTGAGCTGCTCTAGCCAAAGTCTGTCCTGCCCCAGGTGCAGCCTTAGCTTTCGGGATCACGAGAGCTCTGGTCTCTTTTACCAAATTGATGTTCAGGCCAGGGATGAACTGAGCATCTTCTGCCACGAATGCGAGAAGCTCGTCAAGCACATCATCTGGATCATCCTTCTCACAGCGCCACTCGCCACCAAAGCCAAGAATGGCCGGTCGCTTTGGTCCCTGGCAGTAGTCAGCAGCAAAGGTTTCTGGCCGATGAAGACGGTTCTTCCAGTAGACGAAGAAGTCTTCACTGATCTTGGCAATCTCGTTCATAAAGATGATCTTGCCGGAGTACCTGTGGCCAATCCCCTGAGCAATCATTTCACGTGTCCGAGGAGGATCAGGAATGACCGCATCAGAGAGGCGTTCCAGGAGCTGAATGCAGATGGGCGACAAGTCCTGAGCTGCGCAGTTGAATGCGTAGAAAGCATCAACCAGTTGCCGCTGCGAGACCGTCAGGCACATTTTCTCTGCCTTCTGAACATGGCTCTTGGCATTTGCCTTCAAGGATGTTGATGCCAGATCTTGATGCTCTTGGCTTTTCATGGCCAGGCGTCCCCGCCGGCGTTTTCCTCAATCCAGATCCTTGCAATCTGTCATCCGGGACCATGTCCATGGTAACTTCGACCCCAAGGTCTGATGCCATCTCTTCAATTCGGATGTGAGCTGAGCTGCTTTGCATAGATCGGAGGCATTGTTGAGGAAAGTGCCGCAGTTGGTACAGGACATTGTGCCATGAGTGCGTTCACAGTAAAGAGTTTAGGGTTTTCTGATTGGGGTTGGAAAGCCCACTGCTCACAAGACACAATTTCTAATTGTGCATTTCTGGCAGGAGGAAACAGCTGATGAAGGACTGATCCCTCAAAGCTTCTGGGACAGCTGCCAGCAGAAGGATGTGAAGGGCTACATGCCACTACATCAGCTACATCTCAAAGGGAAGCTGGCTGAGGGGAAGTGGAGAGGGCTGCCAGAGGTACCTGTGCTCCAGCTACAGGGGAAAGAAGAAGAACCAGGGCATCATCAAACCATGGAGAACTATGGGCTTCTGTAAAGAGAAGGTCAAGGGTTGGAAAGCCCAGTGCCACTGGCCTGACCTGGCCTGGACCAGCCTTTTTGCACAACTGATGGTGTTGCAAGAAAAAATGTAAAGGGTTGGACAGCCATGCAGCCTCAAACATAGGGGTTGGACGGCACCAAATTGTTTGTAAAGGGTTGGGAAGCCCAACATGCAGCCTCAAACCATAGGGGTTGGACAGCCCCGCAGGGGTTGGACAGCTCCAAATTGTTTGTAAAGGGTTGGGAAGCCCAACATGCAGCCTCAAACCATAGGGGTTGGACAGCCCCACAGGGGTTGGACAGCCTCAAATTGTTTGTAAAGGGTTGGAAAGCCCAGCATGCAGCCAGGGGTTGGACAGCCCATCAAAAAAAATACATGAGCTCACATGAGCTCACATGAGAAACCATGAGATCACATGAGAAACCATGAGAAACCATGAGCAACCCTGAGCAACCATGAGATCACATGAGCTCACATGAGAAACCATGAGATCACATGAGATCACATGAGAAACCATGAGAAACCATGATCACATGAGAAATCCCATTTTGCCAGGCTCAAGCAAAAGGTCCTAGAGTGGAGTACTCAAGTGAAGTGCTGAGATGGCAAACAAGTCCAGCAGATCTGTGGCAACCAAGAAGCCTGCCACAATGAAGAGGCCAGTTTCACACATGGGTATACTGAAGAGAAAACACCAACCAGACAAGGCAGAGACCAAGAAGAAAGCTAGGGCAGAGGAAAAGACTGCAGAAGAAAGTGAAGAAGAAAAGCTGGAAGAGGAGGAAGAAGAAGAGATAGAGGAAGCCTCCAGTGCCAAACCCTGCAAGTTGACCAAGAAGGCTTTGAGTGACCATGATACCTTCATTTGCAGAAGTCATGGAAGGCAAGCCCACCTTCAAACAGTGTGAGCAGCTCTTACACAAGGCTGACAACAATATGGTCATGAGGCTTTGGAAGCACTTTGAGACCAGTCGCAAGTCCAGCAACACTGATGAAGAGTACAAGTCCATCACAAAAGGCGCTGGTGGTGTCAGCAAGAAAAAAGAATTGCTCAGAGGGTGGGTCCTTGATGGGGGAAAGACCTGCAAGCATTTCAAGGAGACTTGCCAAAGCTTCAAAATGACACAGGCTGAAACTGAAGAAGGTGAGTGGCTCAGCAAGATGCAGATCTTGGATGCCATTGGCCCAGAAGAGCTGAAGGCCAGGGTGTTGGCAAAGACCATAGAAACCAGAAGGAAGAAGGAGGACCCCAGGTTTTGGGAGTTCAAGCTGAGGAAAGAGAAGGAATCGATCTCCAGGGAGAAGATGATCTCCAGCCACATGATGTCTCACATGGCCAGCAACAGGGATGAAATGCTGGAATTTGAGCCGGAGATGGGAACTTTTTTGGAAGGTGATGATTTTGAGTTGGTTGCACCTTCATCCTCCAAGGCAGGTGTGCACCTGGATGAAGACCTTGCCAAGTCGCTTGGCATTGGAAGGGACACCAAGCCCAAGAACAAGGAGGAAGGAAAGTGGGAAAGGGAAAGCAAGCTGTCGCAGAACTCAACAAAGCACACCATGGAGAAGCAAGTGATGAAATTCAAGTCAGAGTTGGCCAAAGAGGAGAACCTGCTGGAGACTGTTCTTGTGGATGCCAAGGAAGCTTCAATGGAGCAAAAGAAAAGGCAATCCTTGAACAAATCTGTGAAGGCAGAGCTGAAAAGAGTCACAGAGACCAAGTGCACTTTGCAGACCCTCCTGGCCAAGAAGAGCTTTAAAGAGGATGAGGTGAAGGGAGCCCTGCAAGAGGCATTGGCCTGCTTGACTGCAGCCAAAAAGACCAGGGCATCCAGCCAGAAAACTTTGAAACAGGTCATTGTGGAAGAGGAGGAGTGAGAGCTGCCAGGGTGAACTCAACCCATCGCACCCCCAGGAGCTTTGCTGTAAACAGTTTGAGGTGGGACCCCTTGATTTAGAGCCAGGAGCCTCCAACCCTTGTTTTAGCCATTTGCCAGGGGTTGGAGAGCCCCTTGCCAGGGGTTGGAGGAGAGCCCCTTGCAAGAATTTCTTGTTCAACGTGTGAATCTTGCAGTGTGCATATAGCTGGCCCAAACAAAGAGCAAAGAGCAAAGCAAGGAGCAAGGAGCAGGTTCTTCAGTGTTTGCCCACATTTCTTCAACTCCAACTCAGCCTCCAGTGTTTGCCCACATTTCTTCAACTCCAACTCAGCCTTCAGTGTTTGCCCACATTTCTTCAACTCCAACTCAGCCTTCAGTGTTTGCCAACATTTCTTCAACCCCAACTCAGCCTCCAGTGCCTGATCAGGATGGCTTCCACAAGAAGGGGTTCTAAAAGGCCTCTGGAAACCAGAGAAGATGTGGTCCCTTCATCACCTTTAGGCATTCTTCTGCTGCAGAAATGATCAGAAGGAGGAATGTCAGCAGCTGATGTGCAAGAGATTGCTTTGGCAAGCACCAAAACAGCACCAGATGCTCAGGATGTGCATGCCTTGTCTTCCTTGGGGGCTTATGGGTCCCAAGGTGGGAACACACACAGAGACTTGGTGAGAAGGTTCTTCAAAAACATCGCCCTACCTGAGCCATTTATGCTCCAAACCACAGTTTTTGCAAAAGCAAAGAATGGAAAAATGCAGAAGCAACCAGGTGAGCTGCCTATTCTCCTACCACATATGTGGGTGGCAACCCTTGAGGATGCTGGGAAGGATAAGGTGCTGGGCACCAAGAACTTGAGAACATTCTGGTCACAGCAAACCTTGAAGAACCCCAGGCTGAACAAATGCAAGGATTTCCTTGCCTCTTTTGCAAACTGGAAGCAAGAAGGTCCAATCCCTTTTTGCATACATGGTGATGCTGCACCACACAGTGAGTGTGATGGTTTGATGGTACTTAGCTTGAGGAGCATTCTTTGTGAGGTCTCGGTCCATATGAGCCAAATGCTGTTACTGGCAGCTCCCAAAGCCATGATTACACCAGAAATGTGGGCTGGTGTGTGGGATGTGTTGCATTGGAGCTTGGAGGCCTTGGCTTGGGAAAAAATGCCAAGGGAAGGTGTGAATGGAGCACAGCTTCCACCAGATTTGCTTCCTGAAGCAGGAAAAACCTTCCAGAGAGGGATGCTTTTCTGCATCACTGGCGATTTTGAATGGTTCTACCAAGGGTTTGGTTTCCCAAGATACAACCAGACCAACCCATGTGGTTGGTGCAGAGCCAACCAGACAGATATGCCATGGAGTGATTTCACATCTTCAGCCTTGTGGAGGAAGACCTTGCTGACACCAGAGGAATTGATGGCTGCTTTCAACCACAAAATCTTTACTGTCAGTGGGGTGAACCCAATGGCCCTTTGCTTGGACACACTCCACACCCTGGGTTTGGGTGTGAGCTGCCACATTGTTGGTAATCTGCTGTGGGAACTCATGCTGGGGATGCCATACAGCAGAGACATCTCCATGAGGAAGCTGAATGCAAAAATACAGGAATTTTATGAGAGTGAAGGCATCCCAGCCATGGACAGGCTGAGGACAATTTCACATTCTGACCTGAGAAAGAATGCACAGGAATACCCAACTTTGAAGCACCAAAAAGGAGCAAGGGTGAGGAAGTTCATTCCTGTTGCATGCAAACTGGCAGGGGAAAAGAGAGATGACTCTCATCATGCAAAGCATCGGCATGAGCTATTGCTGGCATTGAAAGAGATGTGTGACCTTTTGGGCAAAGAGGGCTACAAGTGGCAAACACAAGAGCATGCCCAGTTTCAAGCTGCATGTGAGAAGTGCATGAAGCATTACCAATATTTAGCCAAAGAGGCAGTCTCCAACAAAGAATATCTGGAGTGTTGTGCAAAAACACCACATGTGCCAGCACCTATGCGTACAAAGCAAATACATTGCTCCTAGACACTTCCACACCTATGGAAGTGAAGGTTTCATGAAAACCATGAAAACTGGCAGGTACCTGTCTGCATGGGACTCCAGCACATAAGCTGCCCAATGCAATTTTGATTAAGTACAGGTTCTTCTGGCACTTGATGCTTGCTGGTATCATAGAAGAAGATTGAAAACGTGACTGTGGACTTGAGCAAGATTTAAAGGGAAGATAGGACATGGGTTGGAGAGCCCATTTAGGGTTTATAAGCTTGAAGAAATAGGACATGGGTTGGATAGTATGTAGGTACATGAAATGCTCCTCAAAGATTGGTTCCCCAAGTAAAATTCTATTGATTTCTCGATTGATTTTCATGGCTCCATTCTATTGATTTTGTGTATTTTTTCGATTGATTTATCAAAAAACCATTTCTATTGAAATTTTCAATATTCTATTGAAATTTTTGAAAAAACAAAATTCGATTGAAAAAATCAATATCGATTGATTTTTTTCAATCTGGGATGCTCTGGGCTTGAGCCATTGGAATCATCATCTCCACTTGATGAACTGGATGAAGACGGAGGTGGAGAAGGAGAGCGCTTCTTTCTGCGTTCTCGGGAACGGCCTCTCTTCGGGCTCTTTTCCTTCTTCTTCCCCTTTTTCTTTTTCTTCTTGTCCTTTCCGGACTTGCTTTCATTCTCTTCATCCGCATCTGATGGGTGTGGATCGTCACCGCCCACGTTCCCGGGCTTCTCCAAAGGAGTACGGAGACTCGCAGGAGGGGAAGCTGGGGATCCCTGAGACCCAAGTGGCTGTACTGGCGGCACAGGCACTCGGTTCCCCGAGGCGCTGTCGAACCTTTCTCTTAGCTCTTTGATGATCCGACTTTGCTCGGCAAGTTCTGACCGGAGGGCATCCTCTCTTTGCCTAGCTGATGCGCGTTCACTCTCAATGACGGCATGTCTTTCGAGCGAAATCCGATGTAAATAAGCCCTTTGTTCATGGAGTTGTTGGTTCTGATGGGCTTGATTCATGTCATTTAATCGTTGATTGGCAATAGCCTCATGTTGTTCCCTAGGCTCCTCAATAACCGCCCTGGCTTGGTTAGCTACAGCTTCCCTGTACTGCCTAGCCTCATCTGCTACCTGCTGCCCGTGCTCGGCCAAAATGGCCTGATGCCTTAGTTCCGCAATCTGAGCTACCTGAGCCGATCGATCCTCGTTGACGAATAGTCCGAATAGTGCTTGTTGATGAATCTGTCTCGCATCAACGTTTTGAACATTCAACATAGGCGAAAACTCAGCTTGGAAAGGCGACGGTGGTTGAACAGTAGGCACCAGGCCCCCCTGGGCACTGAACGACGGAGGCTCAATTGGCCTACGAAGGTCCAGCGGAACAACAGGGAGTTCAAGTGCAGGTGAACTAGACATTGCTGGGGAAGTCGGAACATAGCCTGATCGGGAACGGTCACCACGGGAACCATCATCTTCAGCCATGGCCTCTAAGTAGTGCACTACTTACGGTGGGTGAGACCACAGCTAGTTACAAGCACATACCGCACTTGTGGCGATACGGCTGATAACCTGTAGTTACAGGTAAACGGCCGACACTAACCACCAACCGCACCTGTTTTCCTTGAGCCAAAGTTAGGGTAAGTGAGATATGTATTAGACACACTAGCGTGAAACAACACACTTTCCCAGAGCAGGCGCCTGCGTCTTGTCTTCGTGTTTGATCTTGGAAGTTGGACCCAGTCCTTTCTGATGTAATTCTGAGACAATGTCCAAAGAGGATTCATTGCGGATTCATTGTTGTGCCACTTGGGCTGGTGAAAACACCGGTTTTCACACCCCGGTGTTCTCCTCTTCTCTTGTTCTCAGCTGACCGGCCGTAACCAATGGCGGTCCTAGGGGCTGGAAGTGGAGGGTGGACAAGACCACGGCCCGCAGCATCCCCCAGAAGACGCCCGCTAAGAGCGTGGTCATGGCCAGCATCCTGAGTCTTCCAGGGAGAGAAAGGACCCACTGGTCTCGGATCCCCTGGTCATCAAGGGCGGGGAGCGGAAAAAGTGGATCCACTTCAGAGGAAACAGGTCTGTTGGATCCACTGTTTCCTCTTGTTGGGAAAGGTGCCAAGAGTGGATCCACTTCAAAGGTCTCGTCTTCGAAGGTTAGGAAGATGGCCCAAATGCCCAGCCGTTTGTGCTGATTCCTTTCTTCACTTCTCGTTGAGACGTGGAACTGCTCAGCCGTTCAGTCTGGTCGTTCGCTTGGTGACGATCAAGCCCGTTTCGGAGGACCATCTGTTCCTCTCTGACTCTCTGACCGCAGTAAAATGATGGTGTAAAACTAGGAAACCACGTCGAAACAGGCTCCTACCCAGTCCCAAGACTCACCACCCTCAACCCAACCCTGTGGCGCGAGACTTCGTGTCGAGGCACACGTAGTTCCAGGGATATCTTTCTCGGAGGCAATGCATCCCCTTGGGTGCACGATGATTCAATTGTGGAAAGCGGAAAACCACTTGTATGGAAACATGGTCTTCTCAAGAGGCATTTGGTACGTACTTTCATGCTAAGCAAAGTCTGAGCGTACGGCCACCCTCCGCGAATGAATTCCGGTAATTTGTTATGATAGGTGCTCTGAGTCTCTCCTTTTTTTGACGGCTTCCATGTGGCTCAAAACAAAACGCTCCCAAAGATCATGCACTAATCCTCAATGATGCAGCATCCCAATATTGAGATTAAGTGGATGTTTGATGATGTTTGTAGAAGCTATACTCAGCAACCACTTATTCAGATTGCGTGTAGTGGTTCCCATTGTCGGAGTAAGGATGGCGAGCTGCACTAAGCTTGTGGTATGCCCCTGGGTTCAGTGGAGTGCCAGCGATTCTGGTCGCATTTGCTGCTCCTATCAGTGCAATTCGGCCGATAGGTCTCTACACGGGCCCCTGTTGCGTTCGGCTTTGAACTTTACAATCGACCCAAAACCAACAACCGTTCCAAACAAACCACGACGTGGTGTGCGAGACGGTCGTTCTCTTCGCGTTCAAACCGCTTCGTTCTGACATGGCTGGGCTACGACTTGGTGCCGCAAGAACCACCCAAATGGATGCCTTTCCATTCCTACAATTCCCCAGAAGAGCTTCTTCTTGGGGAAGCCCCATGGTGCCGGGACAGGAGTGGAGCATCGTGAGCGATGCCTCTTTCTGTCGCTACCAGTGCCGCTGGAGGCAGCTGAAACCAGAAGACACCACGGTGATGGATTGGAAGGCCTGTGAAGGCCCTGTGAATCGTTCTTCCTCAGGCTTTGAGTGAGTGGTTGGTTCGTCATCCCACTGTTTCCCGCATCCCAGTGACCAGCGTGCAGAGCAACGTCCCCGTGCCAAAGGTATAGAAGAAGATCTCGCGTGGCTCGGTGAGTGCGGTTTTTTCTGTCCAACACTGAGGTGGTGGGCCTCTGGTGGGTTGGGCCCATGAGGGTGAGGGGTCTCTGCAGTCTCCCAATGGTTCACCTACTAGTGCGTTGCACTTCTTCTCTGAACATGTTTGAACCATGGCCGCGTAACTTATGCAAGCAGCAGCTTCAGGTCTTCACATCAGACCATCAGACGTGAGTGTATGATAGTGTATGTCAGTATTGATTTCCCCTTTGACCAGGAACCACTCATCAGGACCTGCAACCGTCATCCCAAAGCGGAATTGCGGGGCCGGGCCCCGGACGTCTCCGCGAGACGTCACGCGCCTCTCGTTTCGCATAGGTCAGGTTGCCGTACATCAAGACCTCCTCCCAGGGGCGAAAGTGGTCTACCACCGCCTGGCAGCAAAGGAGTCCAAATGTCTTGCTGGGTGCTTGGAGTGCATTGCAACACAGTCGATGTTCGCTTTTGGCGGCACTTCAGCCTCTTAGTCATCTCTAGTCTCTACAGGTCCCTGCAGGGAGTTGATTGATGTTGATTGATCTGAAATAGATGCCCCCTCTCATCACAACAGCTCCTTGTCCTAATAATCCGGGGCACGGACCTTGATGGTGAAGACACACACCAGCTGCAGAGTGACAAGCAAAAAGCACTTCATGCGAAATGCCCTGACCAAGCGTTGGAGTGCTGCAGGTCTACGTTCAGTGGAGCCCCTACGGGTGCCCCTACGACTGGCTTCTGGATGGTGCAAGGGATCATGAATCCATTTGATTTGGGTACTCCATGGTACTCCCGTACTCCCCTGCACAAAACCACACGGACCCCCCAAAACCACTGGCTTGTAGAGGAAAATGATCTTCCACAGGTCAATTCTCAGGTTCTGTGTTAGTTTGCGGGGGAGTATCACACGGTATCACAATCAGTGCGCAATCCACCAAGTACAGAAATCTTCACTGACCAGCGTGATTCCCATCTCGATCTCAGCCTTTAAATGATGCGCACATGCCCCGCATGTGCCTTGGATTGGAGCAAAATCATAGAAATATTTTTAAGTAACCTAAAATCACCAAGAACAACTATATTCCCAAGCCTGCAACCATGCTCAAACCCTTGCCCTTGTGATTTGCAGAAGGTTGGTTGGAAGGACTTGGCAGGTGACAATCAGGGTCATCCTACCCATCATGAGATAGATGTCCATCCCACGGTCCATCCTGGATATTCTGACACTGCCACAGCTTCTCAGAGTGGTTCACGCACTTGCACAAACATTCCAAACGAACACCAGTTGGTCGTTTCGTGGGTTGATTCGTTACAGCTGCTTGTCATCCGGCATGTGTGAAGATTTGAAATTATATACTTTGTGACGTGCCATCATGTAAGACTGTAAGACTGAAGTTCGCACAGGTTCAAAGAAGCTTCAGCCTGCGCATGTAGTCAGGCATGCTCGTAGGCTTGCTGGGATATCGCCATAACGACCTGGAAACCCGATTGCCAAAGCCACAAGAACCAAAAGAATCTCCATCTGCCGCCTTCAAAATACTCTGATCAAAAGGCTTCTTCTGATCATACTACATCATCTTTGCAAACATCTGCTGTCGGTCAATCTCACGCAGAAAATATTGCACAATGTTGGGCAAAAGGCACTCCTTGCCAAGACCATGCAAGGCCGTTCACCTTCGGAACTCGATCTGATTCTATTTGGGGATCATGTTCGTTGCGACACTCAGCTCCGACCTGATGGAGGACTGAGTCGAGATTCTCCTGCTGCGACCAGCGCGGCGGAATGCACCGAACACACGGCGGAGTGATGGCAGTTCAAAAAGATGGACTTCTATTAGGCTACTTCTTCGGGGCTCCTGACTCCTCGGAGCGATCGGACGCTACGTTCGTTCGGGGCGGACGCATCGCGCCTCGAACGGACGCTACGAGGACGCGACGAGGACGCTGGGATCACTCGGATCGCCGGTTTCATCCTGGACCGTCCTGGACCGATCGGCACTGCTCGGGGTGTCTCTCCTTGATCCGTGGCCACCCATCCAAAGCTTCGGTGGCACTGCGAAATCCGGGATCACCCGGAACGGCGAGCTGCTCGAGGTGATCAGAATTTGTATGAATAATGTGTGTTAATTTGTTGTTCAGCTCATGGCACCCTGTCCGACCTCATCCAATCTCGTCCCATGATGGAACCTGAACCCTCAAAAACACGTGACTTGATTCAAGGAAGGAGGAACATTGCAACGAATCCTTCTCAAATAACCGGGTCTTGGTGGAGCAAGGCCGCCGGGGTTTGGCCATGACCTTTACAAACTTATATAAGTTGTGCCTCTAGAGCATGCACGTGGAAGCCATGGAAACCTACCCTTGCCATCCCCACTTCGACCCCTTTGGACTGGGACACCGTCTACCCTTCACCACCTTCATGACCTTTTTCTACTGACCGGTCACCTGTGAAGAAGTCCACCACCCCCCACCCTCCACCACCCTTCGGATCCCTTCTTCGGTCCTCACGGACCCTGCGTAGCCCTCCGCCGAACGACACGGTGACGACGAAGCAGGGGGCCCCGACCCCGAAGGGGAGCAGCGAACACATGCAACCGGCGGGCGGGGGGGGAAGTCCATGAAGTTGCGTCCGGGCGGCGCTTTCGACCTTTTTTGGTCATCTTTGGACATCTTTGGTCCCCATAGTCACGTGGGCGTGGTTGCCGGGCAGCAAAAGTGCAGAATGCACGCGGCACGGAAACAAGAATTCGGCTCATCAAACTTCTTGGCTGACTCAGTCTAGGACCCAGGATACTCTGCACGACTCACTAATTTATGTCTTCCGGGGTGGCTTCTCGTGACTCACCATGTCATACCTCGAAGAGTTCATGATGGTTCATGCATGCCTGAACGAGCAACTACTGCTGAGTCCACGTCGTCCAAGTACGTTTCCAGTTTGAAGGCCAAGCGGTGCAACCCGTCTCCAGCTTGGATGACTACCTAGGACATACTAGGACTAGGGGCCAACACCTAGATCGGCCTATATATAAGGCCCCCCAACCTCCAAAAGCCCAAGCTCAGGCCCTAGGGCTCTCTTCCAACTGGCGCTGGTCCTTCGGTTCCGTCCCCGAACTCGTCGGGTCGGCCTCTCCGCCCGTCGAAGCCCTGCACCGCTGGGGCGGCGTACGCCGTCTTCGGCATGTCCCGCTGGTCACCCCAGGCTTTTCTGCGGAAGTGTTACGTGTTCCTAAGCCCTACGAGAACATGGTGAACAAGGATGATCATGAAAGGCCCAGTCTACCAGGCGATGATCATGAGAAGCAGCACAATGAGGTGCAGCTGTCGGACCACGTTCGGCGTGACCGGGAAGGAAGAGAAGTTTGAAGACACATTTCGAGACACAAATCCTTCTTAGAGTCTCCCAGGTGCAAGGCCGCAAGGCCCACAATCTGATACAACCTCTATACCACTGACCCCCTCAGCTTCATTGGAGAATGGAGTTTATATGAGTTTATCACTCTAGCCGGTTAATCATGGTTATATAACCGCAATATCACTGTTTATAGCGTGTTTCCACCTTTTCCCCGCATTAGACCAATGACAACCAATCCCAACAAGGCTGGGCCGACCGGATCCACCAAGGGGTGGGTCGTATGACAGGCAGTGCACATGGGAGACTGCAGCGAGTCAAGTCGAGGTCGCCTCGCCGGGAATTCCCCGGTCGCCTTGTGTCAACAACCGCGGAGTTCATCGCCACTGATGGGCCTCTGATGGGTGAGTTTCGTCATCCAGCATCTCACTGGTTACCTGCCGATGTTTAGCTAGGATGACAGTGGAACTGGTCGAGTCAAAAGTCTGCGAATTACCACCCAGCGTTCTACTTGAATCACAAAAACTCACCAACCTGAAAAACGTTGGTTGATGTCGTTTTGGTCTTCGTGTTTCGCGCGTCTGGGAGAAACGTGATCCAGCCGGATGGACCTGTAACACGAAAGATGCGTCCTACCCTACTGGGCTCCTTTTCGGTTCGGTGGGCGTTTTCCAGAAACAGCATGCAGGGATTTCAATGGCCCTACCAGGGCGCGAAACCGAGCTTGCACCGCTCGCGCCTTGGGCTGATAAAGTGAAATTGCTAATCCTTCACGTACGTATGTGTTTGTTGAAGTATTTCAGTGTGATGAGCTGCAAGGTGAGGGAAGCAAGCAAATGGAGCTTAAACCTCTTGCATCACCTAATTACACCCAATTCTGACCACAAAGGACACCTGCCCACTCCCCTTCCACCAGTCTTGCACCAAGGAGCTATTGGTCCTCACAGGGACCAGCAACTGGACTGAAAATAGCTGTGGCCGGGCTGTGGTGTTGACAAGCCTTTGAGCATCTCCTCACTAGACAAATACTGAGATTGCCGTCAAAAAAGGATAAAACCGGTCCAGAAGCATCAGGCCTGTCCCTCTCACCTGCATCCATGTGCAAAGGGCCCACGTCCCTTTTTGGCCAATGAATGCCGTGGCTGATTCTCGAAGGCCATGCTTGGCATGGATCTTCATGAAATGTTCATGAATGTGATTTGGCAGGGCATGCATGTTTTTGCCAAGTATGCAGGTCTGTGTCGAACAATACCTGGCTGGTCGTTCTGACTTTGAGATCAACATCATGCCCCGCCACACCAAAATCAGTACAAACCTCCCCCGCATGCCAAGCTTGTGATGACAAGGTCACGAGAGTGGTTTTTTCTTGCACTCGGGCCAGGCAGAACTGCTGAGTCATATGTCAGGGTCACTCCGCCAAAGCCGAGCCAAGAAAATATAAAGAGTCGCACTGCTATCGTCAGCCGTCCAACGCGAAGAAGGCACCGGGGGTCGGTGTCATGGAGCCTGATGTTTGTGGAATGTCTCAAGGCTTTACCCCTCGGAACCCCGGTCATCGTCGTGCCATGGCTCAGCCGAACTTGCCCATGGCTATCGGATGTTGGGGTGGGACTTACTGGAAGGGTCTACATGGATCGTCGTCACAGGACTGGGATGAGACAAGAATAGACTGAATGACCATGCAGGGGCCTGCTACAGGCTTGAAGATTATGCGTTGCAGGGCCTTGCTTCTGGCAGATCGTACAAGTAGCTTGAAGGGTTTTTGTGACGCTTTTGGGGACTGACGATTTTGCCAGCATCGGTAGATGGGCGGGGTCGTGTGGCGAGGAGAAAATGTCTCAATCAACCTTCCTTTTGCAGCAATCCCATCCCGCAAGTTCCACGGTCCTTTGTGGATTCGCTGTGACCGTAAAACCACATCAGGGATAGGAATAAAAATCCGCCTGCGGCGTTCTACATTCAAAGAAACGGTACTCAACTCTTTCCACAGCCACACGTTTCAAAGAACGCACATCATACATAGCCAATAAACAAATTTGCTACAATAATACTCTTCAACAGTTTTTGAATTAGAGTCACCCAACCTGTATGCTCACAAATGTTTATACATATAGATGTATATATATATACGCCTACTTTATATACTTGTAGACTATATATATATGTGTGTGTGTATGTTTGGTCTTGGTGCATTGACCACCTGCCCTCAAGGATCGCCACGCAAGACCTCCAACCTTAGACCTATCAAAAACCCATCCACCACGAAATGATGCACTCAACCCCTGCACCCTCAGAAGATATTTGAACCAAGACTCAAACACCTTCTCTCTTCTGCATTCGTCCTCTTCTTGCAAGAAACCCTGAGTTCATTATATAGAAAACATATGAAGTAAAGATGAACAATGAACAACATTGAACGATACTTATATAACATATTGAGTCCAGTTTTCCATTATTCTTTGCAACACCTGGATCATCTTTTGACTCCCTCCGAAGCCCCCGAGTTCACCCCACCCCGTTCGGCCCAGCGTCCCCGGGTCGTTTCCAGCTCTGATCGAAGGAGGTGCCACCGCCCTTCGCCACAGAGCTGGGTCCACCGCGGGTGTGGGTGCCGGTGTACGTGCTGCGGTCGTAGAAGAAGCCTCAGGTTGCAGCCGGATGGTCTGAGGGTGGAGCACGAGGAGAAATAATCACCCAAAGGAGGGATGGGCTTGAATCACTGCAAGGGTTGATAAAGAAAAAGGAAAAAAGATGAAATAAGTGCAGCAACACTTACGGTTGTGGCCATGCATTCTTCATTTGCCCCTTTACGTTGGACACTGGCTCGGGGATCTGAACATGGCAAAGAACATCTAAAGCAGCTGGCGTCGCCCAAACTCCACGATTCAAAGGGGATATATATATATATATGTATATGCGTGTCCTTTTCTTGTTGGATGTCTAGGGCGCCATAGGGCTGGTAGAATTCCAGTATATTCCAGTCATCTCATCAAACCAACCTATTCACTTCGACCTATTCATCCTCCCCTTATGACACGGAAGCACCCACAAGAATACATGGAACTCAAAAAACTGTCACGACTCCATCTAGTTATGGTCGGTGAATCTTGAAACGATTTTCTCAACATCCTCCGACCTCCACCCAAGAGAATGATAAAATCGGTGCGAAGTGCGTCGGTCAAGAAACCAAAACGAACGCCTCGCCATCAAAACGCTCACCCTCGCCCTTCCCATTACCTGCTTACCGCAGCACGTTCGGGGCCCACCAGCCCACGGCCGCCACTAGCGCCGCGGGAGGCAGGGCGTGCGCTGGGACCTGCGTGCGATCCGCTGAGCGCATACATGATCCCTGAAAGCGATGACCTCCACCCTCATAGCGATGACCTCCACCCTAATATCGAGCCTGGCATTCCTCCAAGACCCAATCCTCCTTTCCTGATATCCTTACCTTCTACGGATCACCCTGTTCGCCGTTCGAAGCGCCAACTCGCCTTTGGAGCTCGGTCGGCCCACCGAAGGTGGACGTGGAGACTTCATCTGGGGCGGCTCATGCGGTGGGAGGGTGGGCGGCGAAGAGAGGCTCCACAGATGTGGACTGGACATATAGACCCCCAAAAGGATAGAAAAGTAAATCCCCATGTAAATATGATCTAAAACGTATTGGAAACCATCTCTAACCGTCTCCATCTAATTATTTGGGGACCCCTAGATGTGCAATTGGACATCATTGGATTATATATAGAGATGGCAAGAACTTGAGAACTTGAATGCATAGAGCCAAAAAACATATTCTGTCATCTGCTACCGGGCTAAAGTATAATCCAAGGCAAGCTTAGATCATTCTCAGGCCAAGTAACTGACGAGACTATCGGTGAAGAATGCTTGCCGCTTTGAGGTTTTGATACGATGTTGCCGTGATCATGCCCCTCAATTAAGCTGTTATCTTCAGGCTTGAGGCCGCATACTTCACAAAAGAATGCAATGCTGATACAAAACCCTTCGATGGCACAAGAGCAGCTAAGTTCATCTCAGGGCGCTAGAGCCACGAAAACCCGTGTAAATCCCAACTCCTACTCCGGGATAGAAGGGTAGAGTCGAGTGATGCGCGCATCACATCCGGGGAGAGTCTAGTCTATGCGCTCTGTTGGCGATGTTGGGGACGGGGCACCACATCCGGCAAGCAGGAGGGGCTCGCTGGTGGCGCTGCAGCTCCTGAGTGAGTGCGGAACACAACTGCCACAAATCCAGAAGGCACTGCAGCTGTGCCTGTTGGAGGCCAAACCAGATTTCAAGATTCGGGAATGACTTCTTGGACGACCCCTTCCAACGACATTCAGTGGTGGGCTCTGTGCCATCTAGAGCTACTGAACCCCCAAGGCTCCTCCAGACAGCAAGGTCAGGCGTGCCAGGTCTTCCAGCTCTGCAGAAGGCCTCCCATGCCCATGGAATCCCATGGAGTTCCACTACTAAACTGCGGCGCAACAATCCAGTGGAAGACACCTTTCTGTTGGCGCTGCTTCGTAGTTGGTTGAAGGAGGTTTCAGGAACCTGAACCATCTGAACCTTCCTGGATCCCTCCAAGTTCGGCACTGCGTAGGACCCCACAGAAGGCACACCCGTCAAGATCCCGTCAAGCTCACCAATCACTACGATCAAACAATGAACAAAATGAGGACAGACTATACACCACTAATGTAGACGGTTGATTAACAAAAACGTTCCCGAGTCGGATTGAAAAGGGGTTTCATATGACGGGCGTGATTCATCAACAGTCCACATCATACTGCACAACAATGTTCAACATCTGACCGAAGCCCTTTGATTAGTTGGTCTTCCCCAGTGTTCATTGGATTTGCATGGGCCCCCAAAGCCTGAATCATACATTACTACTACTACTACTACTCCTACTACTACTACTACTACTCCTACTCCTGCTACTACTACTACTACTACCATGTCACCAGTTTCAATCGGTTTTCTCATGCTTTCTCTCACGTGTTGTGGCTTAGTGGCTTAGTCGAAAGCTTCAATCCTCCAGAACGGAACGCCGGTATCTCTTGTTCACGTTCACCTGTGCCCCTAACTTCCCTGCCTCTTCCATGTCCGGTCAGGTGCTGACTCTGCACCTGGCCATGGCCCGACTACAAATGATTGCAGGCACATCCAAACATGATAAGTGGGGCCGCATGGGGCTCTGAGCCTTTTGGCCAGCTGGTTGGTTCTATGTACACCAGGACTCGCAACAAAAATTTAAACAACTTCTCGGGTCCCAGGACCACCCCATCAATGCAACTGAAAGCACGACCTGCATGGATGTCAGAATTACAGCTTTCCGGAACCAATTCGATACACCTTGGCTCTCGACAAAGCGACAGCCATCCCTTCCTTCAAACAACAATAAGATTGGACAACAACTTAGTATGCAATTAAATAGGCATGTCTTTCCCGGCTCATCCACCTTATTCCACCTTCTTCTCTCCCGCCTTTGGCCACATGCTCCGGTCCACCGTTGGAGTGGGTACCGGTGTAGGTGCTCCTGGGGTCAAACACCGGCGTTGTGGGTGTTGGGGGCACTGCCATTGCGAGCCGGTGCTAGAAGCAGTTGGTAGACCGATGAGATCATTATGCACCATGTTGCCCAAACAATTCATAATTTTTTTCCTCCATGTTAGTGAGAAAACAGAGTGATTCTATCTAATGCTGCTAGGGGCTGGGGACCTGCCATTGGTGTTCGCCTCGACCTACCTCCGTCCTTTGGTTCATGGAAGGCTGCCCAAAAGCGGCTGCACAAGCATCGCAGCATCATGCCCGCATATAAACGAAATGTTCACAGCCTTTAGCCTTTGAGGATCCCGCATTGCACCATCATGTCCATACCCCTCCGAGGACCTCCCAATTTGTTCGGAGTAATCCGCAATCTTCTGGAGGGAGGGAGGCTAGCAAACATTCGCTTGTCGAGAAGAAAATCTATAGACTGCTTCGTAAAGATGCAACACACAATTGTCGAGGAGAAACACCTCCCTTTCTTTGCGTCCAAAACCCGTTCCAACACCTCCCTCCCAGCACGCCAAACAATCCCGTATCACTTAAAACTCCGAAGTGAACACCACCACCCACCCCGATATCTAACGGAGAAAAAACACCGCTGCCTGTCATAGAAGAACCGCTCAGGTCCGCGGAGGGAATGCTGGCGCACGCGCCGCTGGGCGGCTTCGTTCGTCTCCTGCGCCGGGGCCGAGGTGGGTCCGAAGAGGACGCCGTGCGGAGGGACGCCACAGACATATCGTCAGTGATGACCGTTTGTCAGACATATCGGAAACATGATATAAATATAGAAAAAAAGATAGAGAAAGATAATGACATGTAATATATAGATACATCTGTATATCCATATGTGTATATACATATATATATATATATTTATGGCATGGGCTCGTCACATGTATATCTATATATACCTGGAACTATACCTGGACGAATGGAGATCCCGGATAGTAGTTTAGGGGTTTCCATTGGTGAACCATCATGAAATGTTTGGAAAGATGTGCACCGATGACATGTCCAAGGGGGCGGTGGCTTCCATGGCTGTTTTTCACGTCCATTAATAGTTGGGCCATCCTCCTTCTATTCTACCCATCTTGGCAACTTTGACAACAGCAAGCCAGCTTCGACAGTCTCCTGAGCACCGGTGGCGCGTAGCCCACTCGTAAAGGCGCTGTTGGCAATACCATCATCATTGTCATAGCGTGGCGCACCCCGTTCGTTGCAAGGTGCATTGCACACCGCAGTCCTAGCATCTGCAACGATCAAGCACTAAGCACACCAACCCGTCACACAACCGTTGCAATTCGCATGGCGAACCTGTGCATCCAGTGATAACCGTGTTGCTGGTAAATCCACTTACTGGTGCCCGTTGAAGTTAATACATTTTGCATGTGGGATACTAAACCACCATGGAACGCCGATTTGCAAAAGTCAGTACTTAAGTCAAGACTGCTGGCCTTCCCCATTGTAAACGCTACATACAGAACAAGGTTCTCCAGATTCAGATTTCCAAAAAGAGAAAACTTCAACTGCAAATCCCAATGGCAACGCAATTTGGAGAGCTACCCGACGTGGTAACTTACCCCATACATGAACTTGACCCACCCCCATGGCACATCGCTTACCCCACGAATGTAAGAACTTACCCCATTTGGACAAAATGGCACACCGCTTCGAAACAAACACTTTTCTCCTAGATTGTTTCTAAACCTACACTATTTCATTGCGATTCAACCTTCTACATGTTGATGTTTTCAATTGTTATCTATGGGTTGCCGTGATCCAATCCCCATGGCACCCCGATTCTGACCCACATGTTGGTACCAGCCTTAAGTTTCTACCTGGAGTGCAAACAGCATGGAATTGTTCTTTAAACGTCAAAAATATCTATGCATTCTTGTGCGTATTCTTTCCCAATCCCCATGGCACACCGCTTCGAAACAAGCACCTTTTCTCCTAGCCTAGATTGTTTCTAAACCTACACCATTCCATTGCGATTCAATCTTCTACACGTTGATGGGTTCTAAGGTTTCCTATGGGCTGAAATGATGGCACACCGATTCTCACCCACATGTTGGCACCACATTTAAGTTCCTACCTCGAGGGTAACCACCCAGACACGAAAGTCCTTGCAAAGCAGTTGCGGCAAGCAAATCACACTGTGACACCACACCACGGCTAAGTCACGGCAGAGTCACTTAGTTTTCGCATGGGACACCGCGTTTCACCAAACAGGCCATCTAAGCCAGAACCATGCTTTCCAAGCCCAGTTTACAACCGGACACTGCCACAATGATAGGGTCTGTGTAACAACAGCCAGCAGCAAATGAGTAGGCTTTGTAGCGCAGGCAGCGGCAGCGGCAGCAGCAAGCAGCAGCCAACCAGCAGCAAAACAACACCAACAACCCAACAGCAGCAGAAGGTAACCAGCAGCGGCCAAACAGCAGCAGCAAGCCGGCAGCAGCAAACCAGCAGCAGCCAAACAGCAGGCACCACCAAGCCAGCAGCAGCTAACCAGCAGTATAGTAGCCAACCAGCGCCAGCAAACCAGCAGCAACTGGCAGCAGCCGACCACCAGCAGCAAAACAGCGCAGCGCAGCAGCAGCAGCAGCAGCAGGAGCAGCAGCAGCACCCAACCAGCAGAGGCTAGAAACCACATCATCGCATGGCACACCGTTTTCACCAATCCCACATCACAGGGGCAAATCCCACATTATCCTTATGGCGCATCGGCTTCCGATCTCTGCCAGAAGTATGCTAAGACCACGAAAAAACCATGGTTAGCTTGCGTTTTGCCTTCTTTAGTGTCTGTGTGCGCGCGTTCCTGTCTTTCAACGACTGTGCAGGACACACTTCCGCGTGGCACACCTGCGAAAAATGTGAACATGAACGCTTGAAAACATGAACCCTGCAAATCGCTCCTTGCCTCGGGGGCCATGTAAATTGAAGAGGCCTTTGCTTATATACACATATGTGTTGTGACAATGGCAATCCCTATCACACACCTCTGGAGGTCCTGGTGCCTGGTGGGTTGGGCGAGATAGAGGGCGAGATGTGGGCGAGGTATTGGGCGAGATGAACACGTTTGCCCAGAAGACCCATGCCCACTAACACCCAAACACAAAAGTCCTTGCAATGCAGCTGTGGCAACCAATCAAAAACTGGGACACCACGCCGCGACTAAGTCACGGCAACGTTCTTGCGATACTTGTTTCCGCATGGGGCACCGCGTTTCACCAAACAGGCCTGCCACCAAGCTTTCACGTTTCCAATGCCCAGTCTGCAATGGAAGAAGCCTGCTATAATCATAGGGCGTGCAAGACAATGACAGGCAGCAAATGAGTAGGCCTTGTAGCCCAGGCCGCAGCAGCGGCAGCGACAAGCAGCAGCAAGCAGCAAGCAGCAGCACCAACAGCAACCAAGCAGCAAAGCAGCAGCACCGGCAGCAATCAGCCAGCAGCAGCAGCAGCAGCCAACCAGCAGCAAACCAACAGCAACCAACCGCCAGCAGCAGCAGTAGCCAACCAGCAGCAGCAAGGCAGCAGCAGCAGAAAACCAGCAGCAGACCGGCAGCACCAGCGAAGGTAGCCCAATCAAGCTTTCCCCCAAGGGCACACCTCATCTGGCACAAGTTCATGCCACTCAATAGTGTGCCCGCTTCACAGCGGAAGCCAGGTTTCCACGAGGACCCTGCTTCCGAGGGTTGGCCCTATAAGCCCTTGGAGGGTTGGACATATGAGACCCACAATCCCAAGATGAAGGGGAACCTATGGGCTGTGCTGGTAGCTGGCCGTGTCAAGCACTCAATGCAGTCGAGTTCTGTCAATGGAGTACTCACTACCGTGCAACGAAGACCGCAACAGCCTTCAAAACAGGATACCTTCAATCCAA